CTTACCTATATATATTATATTAAATCATATATATTAATTATATATAATTTTTATATAAATTTTAAAATAAATTTAAAATATATATTATATTATTATATATTATAACAATATATATTTTTTTAAAAAAAATATATATATACATATATATATATTATTATATTAAATATATTAATTATAATATATAAATATAATATATATATATATATGTATAATATAATACATTTTATATAAAATATATATAAATATATATATATATATTATAAATTATATTATATATATATATATACAATTTTTTAAAATAAGGGGGGTACCCCTCTGAACTTCATAGGGCCCTTTTCCTAGAGAAAAGAATAAAAAGCTTCGGGAAAAATAAGGTTCTCCCTGAAGCTGTTTGAGAATTTTCTCCCACCAACCCTATATTTCAAATATGTTTTATTTAAAGACAAAATACATTGGCCAAAATTTCACAAAAAAAAACAGAAAGTAAAAAAACATAGGTGACGCAGAGCTACATCTCAATCTTCGTCCAGCTCCACGGCGGGGGGCCCGCGTCCCCAGAATGCTGCAGCTTCCTCCTGATCTCTACACTGAGTCCTAAAAGAGGAAGTGTCGCATGTGGCCTTTGGTTTTCATATGAGCTTTTCACCCGCTTTTTGAGGAATTTTAGAGCCACTTGCCCCAGCTCCAAGGGCCCCGACCCTTTTGGAATAAAAGTTATAGCAAGGGGGAAGGTCTTCATAAATTTTGGATTTCTGGGTCTCCCTGGGCGGCAGCTCCACCCCCCTTCCACTACGGTATGCCCGTAGGTGTCTGCCAAGTGGCAGCACAGGGTATCCCCGGCAATTGCTTTCCCTCCTTCCGGGTAATAGTGGCTCCATCGGACGCTTTTGACTTCCCTCAGACCCTGTCTTGGGGTTCCCGTTGGTGGGCAACGGGCTGTGGCGAGGCTTCTCTTTATTATTTTATTAACCCCCCATGTCTGGAACTTCCCCTTTTGCTGTGTGACAAAAAAAACGAGACCATGAGTCCCAATTTATCGCTTAACCCTGCCGCAAATACAAATTTTTTCGGTGAGGATGGGGGGGGGGCGAAGAGCACACCAATCCGAAGGCCTGTGGGGGGGAGGGTACCCCGGGAGGAATGGGAACTAAAAAGGAAATCTCCTGAGTGGGGTTGCCTTTCACTGCCAAAAGGACGAGCTTTGCTTTTCCCTTTAAAGCATTGGAGAGATTGTTTTTGGGCCCGATTTTTTCCTTAAATCGGTTTTTTCCCGTGGGACTGTTTGTGCTTTTTGGGGAGCGGTTGTCAAACTGGGGAGTCGGGTAAGGGTTTGTCCCACCAAATCGTGTTTTTCAAAAACCTGGGGCCCTGCCCTCCTACCCCCGTCTCAAAAAGCGTTGGGGGAACTATCTTCTTGGACTAATGCACGGGAAAGCCAAAAAACGAAGACAAAAAGCGGGTTAAAGAAAACTGCGTTGTTTTTTACGCCCCCCCTATACCTCCGTCGCAGGGGGAAGGGTTGTGATCCCTTTGCTAAATCCTCTAGTAAACGGGTTTAGTGCCTTCTTAAAATTTTATCTAGGGGGGTTGCATATATTCCGAGTTTTGGGGGGTTTGTCAAAAGAGGGTGCAACCTCAAGAAGAAAAGTGAGTTTTGGGGATGGGTTAAGACCCCTTTGTGAGGAGTTTCAGAGCATCATGGGCATCAAAAATTGTTAAATTCTCTCCCCCCATTTCATCGGGTCATTAAATTTTTTCCCTGGGACAATATGAGGGCCCCTGGGGGCCCCAGGGGTTTTCCCCCCCAAAGGGGGGTACTGTTGGACGAATTTGTAGTTGAAAACTTCGGGGGGGGTTTTTTCGCCGGGCATTGATTATTTCCGGGTTGGGGCTGTGATGTTTCCCCAATTGGAGGGATTGGGATGGCCCCAAGTCTTCCCCCTGTTTTTTTCCCCCGTTGTGGGCCCCCCCCACCGGGGGACTCTTCAGAAACCTGCCAGAGTCCCGTCACCCCAGGGTACCAGATATATATATTTTATATATATTTTTTATATATTTTTATATATATATAAATTTTATAAATGTCGTGCCGAATAGGCAGAACTTGCGATCTTGGTTTAAATGAAACCGTTATTTTTGCCATATAGGACAAGTAAAAAATTTGTGTAGGGAAATTTAATTTTTCCCCCAAAACTTTCTGAACCAAACAAAAAAAAATTTATTTCACTGTGTTTTTTTTGTTTTAAAATTATTGAAAACCCAAATTTCAAAAATATATTTTTTGGGTTTTTAAGCTAAAAAAAATTTTGTTCTTTTTTAAAAAAGGGTTTTAGGAAAGGGTTTTCTTAGATTTTTTTGGTTTGAAAAATTTAAAAAAATTTTTACATTAACATTAATGAAAAAAATATACCCTTTAAAAGTATAAGAGAAAATTTTTAGAAAGGAATTAATTTTAAATGAGTTCTTGCTAATTAAACCTTTTTTCATATTCGGCCCCGACATTTTATATATTTTATATTTATTAATATATATATATATTATTTTATTTTATATAATATTATATTATATATATTTATATATTATATTTTATATACATATATATATACATATATATATTATATATATTATTTTATATATATATATTTTTTATATATGAAATATATATCATATATTTTATATATATTATATTTTTATATATATATATTTTTATATATATATATATATATATATTTTTTAAAATTATATACATATTTTATACATTTTTATATAAAAAAAATTTATATATTTATATTATATATAATATGTTTTATATATATTATATATAATAAATATATATTTATATATATATATTATATTTATATAATATTTTATTTATTTATTACAAAATATATAAAATTTTATATATATACATATATTTATAAAACCTATATATATATATTTATTTTATTACATATATACAATTCATATATATAAAACTATAATATATATATACATATATATTTATTTATATATACACACACACCCCCATTTATATAAAATTATAAAATATTTTATATATTATATATATATATATATATATTTATATATATATATATATAAATATATATATATATTTTTTGGGGTGATGCACTGTGCTCTTGGGAGATTCTGAAGAGAATTTTGAGAGATTGGTGGTTTGAATTTGGTAGGGTGTGCAAAAGAAAAAAATTAAAGGTAAATACAGAAAAGGTTTAAGGGTTTTATGAGGATAAAAAAAAGATTAGGTGATAAAAAGTTTGGGAATATCAGATTGGAGGGAGAGAGTTGGAGGGGTGAAGTATTCAAAATATTTTGGGAGTGGGGCTTTTAGCGGATTTGGGGTTTTGAAAAATGAGGTGAATCATAGAATTGATGAGGGGAAAAAGGGGTGAGTGGGGCACTTAGGAGTCTCTGGAGAAAAGAAAATTTTTCCTTGGAGGCAAAGAAGGGGGGAAAGTATGAGAGTATAGTTTTACCCAAAGTCTTTTATGGGTTTTTGAAAACATGGGTGATGAAAGTTGCAGCGGGAGGGAAAGGGTGGGGCAAATGGAGATGGGCATGTCTGGGGCAATGTGTGGGGTGAAAATAATGCAGAGAAATTTGTTTGTTTGGGGAAGGGGGAGGGAAAGGGTTTTTTGAGGTGGGTTTGGACCCTTTTAGAGGAAATTTGGGGCGAAACAGAATTTACTTCAAAGTGTATCGTCTGTAGTGGAAGGAAAGGGGGGGGTGGGGTCGGGGTAGGAAAGGTTTTGGGGGAGGGGGGGTTAAAAGGGGGTTTTGGTGCGAGGGGCTTGGACTTCCAGAAGGGATGCATGAGCGTGTTTGATAGGAGGAATGGGGGACCCAAAAGGTTTTTTTTTAAAACTTGACGTGCTGTTGGAAATTTGAGCAAAAATAACCCTTTATGAAGGGGTTCAGGGAAAACCCGGGAGGCCCGGGCTTTTAGTCCTGGGGGATTTGGAAAATACCCGTGCCTGCAATTGAAGGAGGGGTGTTTAAAGTTGCGTTTTAAAAAATGTAGTGTAAAGCCCCTTTTGGCCCAAACCCGTGATGGGGGTGAATGATGGTTTTAAAGTTTTTTTTTTTCGGGCCACCCTGCCTTGGTGGGGAAACGGGCCCCGTGTGTAAAAAAAAAAATATATTATTTTATAAAAATTAATATATTATTATTTATTTTATAAAATATTATACATATATATATTTAAAATTTTTATATATATATATATTTATAATATTATTTATATATATATAATTTTTATATTATATTTATATACATAAACATACATATATATTATATATATTTATATATATATATATATATAAAATATATATATATATATATTATTTATAATATATTTTATATTTTACATTTGTATATATATATTTTTTAAAATTTTTATTTTTAAAATATATATTATATATATATTTTTTATATATTTAAAATTTTTTATAAATATATAATAAAATATATATAATATAATATATATATATATATATTTATAAAATATATATACCTATATATATATTAAAAATAGAGAACAGAACAATTTCACTTTTACGTTTAAAATATTGCGGGGATTAGAAAAAATGTAAGTTTAAAAATATTGTAACTTGGGGCCTTGTTTAAAAATTCGGGTTCAGAAAGTTCACCTGTGCCGTCTGAAGAAAACATTATATTAATTTCATAAAAAAAATCACTCTCTTCCGTGTGTGGTGCGCACCATACAAGGCGTTTCGTAAGTGTATCCTTGCGCTTGTTGATGCTTCTAATGGATTTACCGGGTTGAACAACATATTCCAGTTCTTTATAACTGTTTGAAAGGTTTCCGAGGTGTGGATTGCAGCAATGACTGCTACACAGGTATGTTTATACTCTCCGTGAATCAGCAGAAAGATGTACGGAAGGTTCGAACTGTGGTTGTGCGAGTGGAAATTCCAAAGATTACCGCTGAGCTACAGAGCTTCTAACAGAAAAGGTCCACAGACAGTAGCACTACTGTGTTGCTGGCCCTACCAAATCCAGGACCTCGGTTCAAGCCATCCGTCCATTTTTTCTGTTTATCCCTGTACTGTCGTTCATTATGACTTAAATCGAGTTCACTCTCCATATTATCATAATGATTCTGATTTCTGATTGTCTGAAAAAGAGAAGCAACGTAATCCGTTTGCAGTTTTTTTTTTCGTCAATTTCAGTTATGTGATTATTCTCTCTCTCTCTCTCTCTCTCTCTCTCTCTCTCTCTCTCTCTCTCTCTCTCTCTCTCTCTCTCTCTCTCTCTCTCTCTCTCTCTCTCTCTCTCTCTCTCTCTCTCTCTCTCTCTCTCAACGAACAGTTGTGTCTCAGAGTTAAATTTAATGCTATATTTTAGCTATTTTATCTTATCTTCCATTTATTATCATTGTGGATAATATAGTATATTTTCCGAAAATACAGTGTATTTTGTATGTAAATTAGTGAAATACATTGTAGTTAATATAAATTAATTTGTAAATAAAAAAAAGGAACTAGCGAAAAGAATTAGAGTCGCTTAGGAGGAGAGACGCCATTGTTTTGGGAATGGGCAAAGACATGCTAGTGAAATGTGCATAAATTTCGTCGCTCTGGAGGTCAAATTGTGGTTGAAACCTCTCAAATAGGAGCAGAAATTGTTGGAATTGCAGAACGTGAGAAGAAGGCGAGTGGACAGGACAATCCGGGAACCCCAGTTAAGTCATGTTGAAATTCTGGCCAGTATTTTCTTCACATTTTAGGCAGGGGTTTAGGTGTGACACACCAAGTAATCTCCAGACAAATTAGTGAGTGGTATTAAGATAAATTTTTCTTCTGATATATAAATGTATATATTCATTAACTAAGTTTAACATACAGTCCACATATTTATATTAATGTTTTACCAGAATTCCTGGTAGTGTATATTTCATTTGAAATTAATATAGGTCCAGAGTGACTTGTGGAGATTTGAGTGGTGTAGGTATCGAAGGGGGACATTTTTTGCGACCTAGGATGTCCTAAAATTCCTACATGTCTCTGTAACCTTGATAAAGAATAATTATCTTTGTTACCATTTACTGGTATGTATCTTATGAGGTTCATCCAGATAATTTTAATTTTCCACAATCGTCTCTAATTTGTGTTGCTGTATGACCTTAGTAGGCTTAGCGCTTCGTTTTGATTATAATCTAATTTTTGAAGTACTCGCCCTATGTGTCCAGGATAATGATTACAATCCTTTTTACATTTTCCTATTTTTAATCCAATAAATTTCCTCAGTTATCCCTAGATGCAGAGGTTATTATTTTCTCTTAATAAATGCCAGGGACTCAGAAATCTGATAGGCTTGTGTGAACTAATTAGAGAAGAGAGAGTGAAGGCGAGTGTTTTTTTTTTTTTTGAGTTGTAAGAATGGAAGCAAGTGACAAGCTTTTTCCTGGTTTTAGAACTATGATGAAGGTAAATGATTTTTTTGTATAAAGTCATTGAACAGAAGGATACAGCCAGGTATATAAGGATCTGTGGATCGTCATATAAACACGGTAGACTTGAAGCAGTCGTCCTCATTATCCCTCTTTCAATATGAGATATGTAAGTACAGCCTATCAGAATTTCTTCTGCATGTTCCACCACTCAGATCTCTCGTCGACATTTGAATCTGATTGATCCTCAATGTGTGTAGCGACGAGTCTCTTCTTTCAATATATACGAAAAAAAAAATATATTAGTGCTTTAGAATTGTGTTTGCTATTGCTGCTTTCGTAAGTTAAACTGAAAATTGATTACTGAGGAATGACTTTATGTTAACGATCACTTTCACGAGTTATTGGTGGTTTGACTGGCTAATGTTGTTTATAAGTACAGCATGGTAAAGAGAAACAGGTTAAATGCTTTTTATGAATACAAATTATGCGTCTTGGGTTACTACAGTTCCAGGTATATTATTCTGAAGTTCCTTTCCATCATTTATGGTAAAGACTGAACTGGAGGAAGTCTTTATTCTCACGACGTTTAGCTCAGTGTTGAACTTTAACAAGTCTTGAGCGAAACATCGACAGAATAAAGCCTTGCTGTGCGTACTGTCTCTTTACCGTGAGTTACTGAGAAAGTACTACGTTATTAGTTAAGGCATATGGCAAGAGACAGGCATTTTAGTTCTCAATAAAGATACCTAATTGTTGTATCGTATACTCTTGTTATATTAATACCACGTTAATGTTATTCTCTTTAAGTTCACTCACAAGTAAATAAAATCCAGCATCATATATTACCATTACTAAAACACACATCAAATTTGTGATAAATGGTTTAAAACCGATAAGTTGAAGACTGAGACACTTATGCAACATATGGGAATCTTTATTGAAGAAACGTTTCGCCACACAGAGGCTTCATCAGTTAAATACAGATCAGAAGGATGTAAGGAGAGGAGGAGTTTGAGGTAATCGGTCCCTCAGCCTGGAGTCGGTGTTCAGTCCATCAGTCTTGTAGACTTTCTACAAGACTGATAGACTGAACACATCGACTCCAGGCTGAGGGACTGATTGCCTCAAACTTCTCCTCTCCTTACACCCTTCTGATTTGTACTGGACTGATGAAGCCTCTGTGTGGCGAAACGTTTCTTCAATAAAGATTCCCATATGTTGCATAAGTGTCTCAATCTTCAACACATCAAATTAGGTATTTAATATTAACACTACTTTGATATTCATTACAGATGTGTGCTGTCTTGGTGGTGGTGGTGGCCCTGATGGCCCTGATGGACCTGGCTCAAGCTGTGCCTCACCCTGACCCTGCTGCTAACCCTGACCCACAGTTCGAAGCTTTGCATCGCACTTTAAGTCGCGGTCTTGCTAGAAGCTTGGTTCATATTCGTAATTTATTACATTAATATTTTCTTCTGTCCTCTTCGTGTCCCCCATTTTTATCCAAGTGAAGACTGCAAGAAGTGAAAATGTAATAATAATAACTAAAAAATTAATTCTAAATTATGCCAAAGGAAAATCAAATTTCTAGAAATGAGTTTCGATTTCGAAGCTTAGAATAACTCACCTTCTTGTACTAGAGGGGACACAGATAATCTACTGGAGATACAGCGTATAATAACGCACCTTCATGTACTAGAAGGAACACGGATAAGCTACTGACACTGCTCAAATCTTAGAGTAATGCAGCTTCGTGTACTAAAGAGAACACAGATAAACTACTGACGCTACTCCAATATCTTCCCCACTGCTCCATCTCGTATCTTAAACCTCTAACATTTCCAGCATGACTCTTGTGAAGTACCTAATTAATTGATGCAGAGTAAATAATTATAAGCAGAATATTTCCACAATAAAAAATATATTTTGGCAGATATTTTACTTTACTTTTCACCTACAAAAAAATATTCAATAATTTATGGGTTTACAAGACAGTGCTACAAATTATGTTATTTAACACTTGTAAATAATCCAATTTTTATCGATGGAGACATTGTTACCAAATTAAAAATATATTTTAAAATTTCTTCACGAAAATACCGCTAACTAAGTTTTGGGATTCTACAGAACAGTAAGTAAATGCTAATCATACATGCAAAGTTACATATAATTATGACTTTTAAAAACATTTAATACAACAAATGTCCCTTCGTTTTAACATCTTTCTTCACTACATTATTCCACATATCATTTAAGTTTAGGAAGGTTGCGCTTAAGATGTTAAATACGAGGATGGGAGTTAATGCTTCCCTGTACAGTCTCTGCAGAGAAGAGCCTGGCTAACTCTCTCTCTCTCTCTTAGTAAAAGCTTTACTGTCAAACAGTCTATTTAATCTCTCTCTCTCTCTCTCTCTCTCTCTCTTAGTAAAAGCTTTACTGTCAAACAGTCTATTTACTCTATCTCTCTCTCTCTCTCTCTCTCTCTCTCTCTCTCTCTCTCTCTCTCTCTCTCTCTCTCGCTCTCTCGCTCTCTCGCTCTCTCGCTCTCTCTCTCTCTCTCTTTTAAAAGCTTTACTTTCAAATTTTGGAAGTTGATCAGATAATATTAATATGTTTTCTAGATCCACTGTGTGAGAGTCAGTCGGGAGAGTTTAGAAGCAACAGTTACGTCTGCAGTCAGATTACAGAAACATAAAATGGTTACACATTGTGTTTAAAGAGGAGTATCCGCCGGTATTGACGCGGTTTTTGACACTAGACACATTACAGTTAGAAAAAGTTACATTCCACAACGCTAACGATGGTTTTTCAAATGATCAGTGGCGGAGTGTTCCTGTTTGTACCTCCACAGAACTCAGAATGTTTTGGATTATGATATAAACTAATTTTTTTTACATAGTGTTATTATTAGCACTCTGATACTACCACTGATGTTACTCCTCGATACGACGACGAAAACGTCGTCTAATCAAAAAATCGTTTCAGATGAACTGAAAAACATATGGGAAAAATAAGGTTCCGTTTATTAGACCCACTGTAATACCAACAATTTTTTTTAAGCTTCACAATAAATCAAAACTGAAAAATGATCAAGGTTTTTATTACTTGCATGATAGTTGTCACTGTTTGTTATAGAAATTTTTTGGGAAGGATTGATATGACCGTGTATAATACCTGCTTAGAGACTCTCTGATCCCGGGATCTATCCCCGCCCGTGGTATGGTTTGTTTACCTGTACAAATATGTGAGAGACCCCTCCACTGGTATCACCTGTGTCCTCCACTACCACAGCCATCTAAAAAAATCACTGAAAATACCATATATTACCAGACATAAGACAAGATTTTTACAATATATATATATATATATATATATATATATATATATATATATATATATATATATATTTATATATATATATATATATATATATATATATATATATATTATTATATATGCAAAACAACCACTCTGAAAAAATAGAGAAATTCCAAGCGCTTTCGTGACTACTCACATTATCAAGGAACTATGAAAGTAAAGCATCCAAGGAAGCTATATAAGGGGTCTGGTCGGCACCTCACTATCAGATCCCACAACGGTTTAAACACGTGACGCGCGGCGAGCCAACTTGGAAAGGTCCTTGGCACAACTCACCCCACAAACTATTCTACCCAAGAAATAAGAAATTTTAAAGATTATTTGTCCAGTGTATTATTAAATTCTTCCCAAATTCTATTAATTATAAATGGATCTAATTTATATAAACCAAAGGAAATATTCATATTATTGTCAAAAACTGCTTTTTATGAAACAAGATTCAATTATATTCCTGTCGACCATGGACTTGCTTGATACTACTTTCTCAACTTTTTGAAAATCAATTGGATGGTTAAAATCTCTTACATGAATAAATAGAGCATTGGAATCTTGTCCAGTTCTAATGCTATATTTATGTTGTTTTAATCTTAGTTCGAGATTTTTACCAGTTTGACCGTAATAAACTTTATCGCAAATTTTACAAGGAATCTTATAGAAAACATCCATCAGCATTTTGGGGGGAATTCTTTATCAAAGTTTTTTTACTGTATCGAGATTTTTGAATACAACTTTAATATTAAAAGTCTTAAGAAGAGAAGGCATATCAACCAATTTTTCATGGTAAGGGAGAACCAACATATTTTTATTTGAATAAGGCTGGTTGTCCCTTTTTGGGATTGTAAAAGTATTTCTGGCAACTTTAAAAGATTTATCAATTACATTTCTTGGGTATTTTAAATCATTACCTATTTCAAAAATTTTGGATATTTCCTCATCTATGAACTCAGGACTACAAATTCGTTAAAGCTCTCAGAAACATTGATGAGAAAACAGACAGTTTGACTCTATCTTGATGCGAGGAATAATAGTGGACATGGGAAAACAGTTATTAGTAGGTTTTCTGTAAATTTAAATTTGAATTCATTATTACCTTAATAATTAAAACATCTAGAAAGGCAATGAGTTATTTTCTTCAAACTCAACAGTAAATTTTATTGAATGGGCTAAGCTATTTAATTTTCCAAGGAAATGGTGTATATCTACATTTTTGGGCATAAGACACAAAATATCATCAACATATCTGAACCATTTAGCTCTATTAGGGAGGATTGTGTTAAGTAACCTTGTTCAAAAAATTCCATGTATAGGTTACTAAGAACAGGTGAAAGAGGTTTTCCCCATTGCCATACCAAATTTCTGAGTGTAAATTTATCATTAAATACAAATTTTGCATCAACAATGCAAAGTTTAATAAGTTTAATGATAGTAGGAACTGGCAATGGTAAATCATAGTTAACGAGTTCTTCAGATAAGAAACTTATAAATCATCAACAGGAACTTTCGTAAACAAGGAAGTAACATCAAAACTAACCATGTTAAAATCATTTAGGTCAGTCAAAGAGCTTAATTTATCAACCAAGTCTATGTTGTTTTTAACATTAAAGTTAGAAATTTTGCCAACAATAGGGCTCAAAATATCAAAAAGCCATTTGGATAATTTATATGAAACTGACCCTATGGAGCTAATAATTGGTCTGACTGGATTCCCTGGTTTGTGTGTTTTTATTAGTCCATACATGTAAGGCAAAGATGGATTAGTGGAAGTAAATTGTTTGACTAACAAAATGATCTCTTAGATGATACTGAAACCTATTCTAAACTTAGGAAAAATCCCCTAGAAACCGTTAACAGCAATTTCAATAAAACAATAAAACTTCTACTGAAAGGCAAAGATGAATTAGTCAAACAATTTACTTCCACTAATCCATCTTTGCCTTACATGTATGGACTAATAAAAACACACAAACCAGGGAATCCAGTCAGACCAATTATTAGCTCCATAGGGTCAGTTTCATATAAATTATCCAAATGGCTTGTTGATATTTTGAGCCCTATTGTTGGCAAAATTTCTAACTTTAATGTTAAAAACAACATAGACTGGTTGATAAATTAAGCTCTTTGACTGACCTAAATGATTTTAACATGGTTAGTTTTGATGTTACTTCCTTGTTACGAAAGTTCCTGTTGATGATTTATTAAGTTTCTTATCTGAAGAACTCGTTAACTATGATTTACCATTGCCAGTTCCTACTATCATTAAACTTATTAAACTTTGCATTGTTGATGCAAAATTTGTATTTAATGATAAATTTTACACTCAGAAATTTGGTATGGCAATGGGAAATCCTTTTTCACCTGTGTCATAGTAACCTATACATGGAATTTTTTGAAACAAGGTTACTTAACACAATCCTCCCTAATAGAGCTAAATGGTTCAGATATGTTGATGATATTTTGTGTCTTATGCCCAAAAATGTAGATATACACCATTTCCTTGGAAAATTAAATAGCTTAGCCCATTCAATAAACTTTACTGTTGAGTTTGAAGAAAATAACTCATTGCCTTTTCTAGATGTTTTAATTATTAAGGGTAATAATGAATTCAAATTTAAAAATTTTCAGAAAACCTACTAAATAATGTTCCAATGTCCACTATTATTCCTCGCATCAAAGATAGAGTCAAACTGTCTGTTTTCTCATCAATGTTTCTGAGAGCTTTACGAATTTGTAGTCCTGAGTTCATAGATGAGGAAATATCCAAAATTTATGAAATAGGTAATGATTTAAAATCCCCAAGAAATGTAATTGATAAATCTTTTAAAGTTGCCAGAAATACTTTTTACAATCCAAAAAGGGACAACCAGCCTTATTCAAATAAAAATATGTTGGTTCTCCCTTACCATGAAAAACTTGGTTGATATGCCTTCTCTTCTTAAACTTTTAATATTAAAGTTGTATTCAAAAATCTCGATACAGTAAAAAAACTTTTGATAAAGAATTCCCCCAAAATGCTGATGGATTTGTCTATAAGATTCCTTGTAAAATTTGCGATAAAGTTTATTACGGTCAAACTGGTAAAAATCTCGAACTAAGATTAAAACAACATAAATATAGCATTAGAACTGGACAAGATTCCAATGCTCTATTTATTCATGTAAGAGATTTTAACCATCCAATTGATTTTCAAAAAGTTGAGAAAGTAGTATCAAGCAAGTCCATGGTCGACAGGAATATAGTTGAATCTTGTTTCATAAAAAGCAGTTTTGACAATAATATGAATATTTCCTTTGGTTTATATAAATTAGATCCATTTATAATTAATAGAATTTGGGAAGAATTTAATAATTACACTGGACAATTAATCTTTAAAATTTCTTATTTCTTGGGTAGAATAGTTTGTGGGGTGAGTTGTGCCAAGGACCTTTCCAAGTTGGCTCGCCGCGCATCACGTGTTTAAACCGTTGTGGGATCTGATAGTGAGGTGCCGACCAGACCCCTTATATAGCTTCCTTGGATGCTTTACTTTCATAGTTCCTTGATAATGTGA